ACTGTTTTGAATTTTTCTTTGCCATATTTTGTTGTCCTGTCAAATGGTGATCTTGGTCTTGGTTGACCTTTTCTTTAATTATTTTGGGACTTGCCATGCATGCTTCTTCAATATCTTCCTTATTTGGGTTTTGATCTAATTCTACCTCTTCTTTGATATCTATTTCTACATTGAAGTCATTGATTTTTACTAGTGTGTAGGTATGTTGTTGAGTATCTGATATCTTCTCTTTGCATACTTTCTTAAGATGTGATCTATTTTCAATAGTGATTGTTTCTTCTATCTAGTCACTCCATGTATACAATACCAAACTGTTTGTATCCTTTACACTAAGATTTTAGAGTTCTGATGGTTTGCTATATGTTTTTGAATTGTTTGCTTATTTGTGGGAAGGTTTTAAACAGTTTCTGTTGGTTTTTTAGATTCTTTACCCTTGTTTGGAATAGTTACCATTTTTCTGATCCTGTTGATTTCTTTTCAGAGATTTTTTACATTACCTCTTGCCAAAAGGTTCTCATTGTAGTTGGGTTTTGTACTGGTTTTGGAACTGCGAAGGGTTCTACGAGAACTCATCTCTTCCATGTGCTTTTTTGTTTGTTAGAAAATAATTGCCTAAAAAAGAAATTTTTAAGAATTTTGGGATCTGCGAGAAAGAGTTTTTTTTTTTTGACAGTTACTGTATACGTATAGTGACGAATACGTATTACTCCCAGTTTTTCCTATTCCAATGCGATCTTCGGAGATAATTTCCTTTTGTAGTATTCCGGGTGCTAAGAAGAAATTCCGAATTACTTTTTTTTTTAAAAAAAAAAATTTATGTAGCAATGACTCGGTGTTTAGACAGAAGCATTCGTTTTTCGTGCATGAGATCATCGACTTAATGCTGGTTTTTATTTGCTACTGCGTTTTTTACCAATCCTAATTAGTGCAATTTGAAAAAAAAAATTTTTTTTAAAGTTCGAGAGATACAGTATTTTTGAGAAATTTTTTTTTTTTTTTTTTTTTTTTTTGTATGCGTGTTTGTAAAATATTATTCGTCAAAATTCTTTTTCGACTGCACA